GAATACTTAACACAACACGCTTCCTTTTAAACCCCGACATTTTGCTAACGCACTTGAAGATCTATATTAAGAAACTGATACTTACTTTCACAATGCACTCTCACACTGAGATGGTACCGTTAAATAACCTGGGGCGGTGTATTTGTCCTTGAAACTTTCCAAAAATTCTTGCATTCTTTCACCCCCACCCTAGAACATTGTGTTCGCATAACGGGACGAAATAATGCAGAGCTCGGTTCACACTAGTGCGAAAATAGTGTTAAACTCACCATGTGAAACAAAAGTGAATGAATATTAAACAACATATAAACTTAAAAAAAAAAAGCCCCGGTTAAGCCGCAAACCGGTTAATCCGCCCCCGGATAATCGAGAGTTGACTGTATACAGAATTTGCAATTTAGATGATTCAAGAGCTACAATGTAAAGCATACTATAGCATGGTATCACAGAGAGTTTAAATGCTCAGTTTATAACCAGGATAGCATATGAATGGAGTGGAGGAATTGTTATAGGACCAAATAATAATAATAAAAAAAAGTAAACTTCTGGATAAACAATTACCAGCAAACAATGTGGTAATCTTTTAGGAAGAAAAAGAAAATAAATTCAGGTGTTACAAACCATAAAAAATACATAATGAAAAGTGAGACGTCCAGCTACACCCAAGGGGATATACTAAAATTAACATTTGATAAACAAGATGAATGAACAACATTAGTGAAATCTGCAAAGCATTACTGATTGAAAGCACTTTGTGACGGCCAGTGGTACAGCTACAAAGTATAATTTATGTCTATATGCAGAAGCAATTTAATAAAATAAGAGTAATAAAACTCTGAAAATATACACGTTACTTATAATGCACAGGTGAACCACCCAACATAGTTCAGCATATTAAGAATGGAGGTTTCCATATATCAGCACTACAGCTTCCACATGTCATTTTGAAAGAATTTAGGTTGAGGGCTACCTTGGCAGGCAACGATTTCTCCACATCTTTCTTAACTCTGCGTATGATGAATGGCTCAAGCTGCCTGTGCAACTTGGAATACCCTTTCTGCGCTGCATTTTCATGTTCTTTCTCAAATTCTTCCCATGAAGCAAATCTAAACAAACAACAATCATTCAGCTAAACAAAAATGGTATCGTCTTCCACTAAGCGTGACAAAATGAACAGGAAAAATGGAGATCTGTCACCACTTTATTCTGAAAAATATTATGTGTCCACACAGTGTGAACCAAAATTCATAATACAACTGTGTTGATTCAGATGTAAAAGTTTGTGACAATGGTATATTAATACTATTACTGAGTTTTTGGACATTATCAATCATACTGTTTTTTATTTAAAACCCAGGACTTCAGAGACTGCATTCTGTCTCCATCTTCAGGTAAGAGCCTATTCAGTTGGGACCCATCAATGGAGCTTGTCCCTATCTCCTACTGATCGTGCCCAACTGAGTAGGATTTTACCTGAAGATGGAGACAGATTTCAGTCTCCGAAACACTGCATTTTAAATAAAAAACAGGACAATGGATAATGTCAAAAAACTTAATAACTGTGTTAATTCCAATCATAACCTACTGGCAAAAAGAATCAGTTGAGCACTAGCAAATCTGTATTACAGAAACTAATTCAGAGGATGGTTAGGTTTTTAAAATGGAAATACATGGAACAGTGAGAAGAATAGCTTTTTTGCAACACAACTTCAATTAATCTTGTCATGCTACTTTTAGCATTCCCTTCAAATGACAGTAAATACAAAATATGCATACTTGTTAGGCATAATGAAATGCAGTAGACTCCATAATTCCTTCAGACTGTTTTGTAAAGGTGTTCCAGTAATAAGTAAACGATGGTTTGTATTAAACTCCATTAATGCCTTGTACAAGAGAGAGTCATCATTCTTCAGGCGATGAGCCTCATCCACTAGCAGTGCAGCCCAACTCAGACTACCCAGAAGTGCTTTGTCTTTTAATACAATCTCATAGGTAGTGAGAATTGCATTAAACTTGAGTCTTTTTGAACCACTGTAGCACCATTCAAACTGTCGAATCTGTATACAAAAAAAGGTTGATGTTAATCATCCACAACAGCATCTCAAGTCCATTCAGACTTTCAGGTTTACAAGGCCAAATTCCTAACAGAGAAACAAAGTGTAAAACCCAAACAAAACTGAGTACCAGTAAAGTTGAACTAGTCCATGGGAAATTATATGCCACACCTTGTGTAGGCAACCTTATGGAAGAAAATACCTGCATATTCAACAGGATATTCCATATGACAGTCCTAAGGCCTGTCATCCATAGGTTTCACACCTGAATATTAATTTTCACAAAAACTTTAACATATTGATATCTATAAATAATGTTGCCATACAGTGATTTACAATGAAGCAACTCCCATAAAAGCACACCTGTAATAAGTTAATAATAAATTAAAATTGATATATACAACAGATAAATTCTAAGCCTGCGTAATCTTAAGATATCTGCACTACATAATTACTAACTGAACTACATTTTATGGATTTAATAACATATGTAAGTACAGAGAATTCCATCAATTGGTACTTCAGTTTTTGAGCACAACTTTCACTCTTCTGTGCACCACTTCAGTGCATGGTACCTAGTTTGGGAACCACTGATACAAACACCAGAATGACAAAAATCTTCTAAATTTTCACATTTACAGCCAGCCATCTTGGTATGCTTGTGTCTGTGTTGTGTGCAGTTTAACTTGAAATACCAGTCATGTCTAAGAGACATCCTTTAAGTTGAAAACATTAGAAAGGTATCATTTCTAACAAATGAAATAATGTAATTCCCACCAACAAAATTAATACAGTATATTAATAAAGTTTCATAACACGGTACACATGTATAGATTTCAGAATGCCCTGCCATATAGTGAGAAAGTACTAACCCAGTAATTGAATATCCCAAAGGCATATGGGCAGTGGAAGTACAATGAAAACAGTCAAGTAACTTTCTAATGATATTTACTGGTGACTGTCACAAACTGATGACGTACTCTGGTTCGTGGACAAGTTCACAAACATAACTCACATTAATGATATTGTGACATGGCAGCTGAAAGACTGGAATAGTTGAGCCGAAAGAGACAGACTCTGCTAGAAGGCAGCCGATAGACACGTCTCCTTAGTAACGGATATGCATGCAACAACAAAGGAATTGTTGGAGCTGGCGTCTTCTAGGCAGTCTGTGTTGAGGTTACATCGTGTCAACCATCAGGAAAAGTTAGCCAGTCATGGATCAGAAGTGGACACAGTTGGCAGCCCATCACATGAGCAGAAGAGGATATTGCTGAGACGCGTTGCCAGGCAATGAGTAGCCAAGAAAACTGACAAGACTTAGTGCATGCTACAGTGTATTGTAAAGTGCATGCATTAGTGAGAGTGCTATAATTCTTTGTAGTTATATGAGCTGTAAGAGTTCAATAAATTAAATTACCCATCCAAACTCTGTGTTTAGTCACTAAACATGTGATAACTTAACCATTACTTAGCAAATTTATATTTAGTTGTTTCCTCATTCAAATCTTCTTGATATATGGACAATCAGAAAGCAGTGGAACAGTTCTGACTGGTATTCAGAAACTGAATTATAAAATTATTTTACAACCCATGACGATTAATTTGATATAATTACTAATTTATCATGAAGCCGCAGTTTAATTTAGTTCTCTGACAAAAAAAGTTGTGTTAGACGCTGTCAAAACATAAGTATGACTACGCATCATTTCACCTTTATTAACATCTCACTGATCTAAATACAATACTATGTAAAGAAATTTTCATAATACTTTTCTGAAGGTATACAGCAAACATGGTCAGCCTCACTCACTTCACCCACTGAACAACCCTGTAGTAAGGAGCCCAAATAGCAAGAGGATATGAAGCCGGGGAAGGTCCAAAGTTATATTCTGGTCATGGCAGAAGAGAAACATATCCAATTTGATACCATAAATAAAATCCTAGCCATCTATCCTGCATCCAGCCACTTCAGAAACTTAGCTACCACACTAAAAATCTGTACTAAGAAAAACGATGAATGATGCTAGATCACAGAATTGTATAATTAAAAAAGTAAAGGTATCTCTGTAACAGAACATGGAGGCCCATAGGGTTATGAGATGTTGAGGTTCCCACATTTTCTAGACAATTGGCTCAAAGATGGCAGCAAGGTTGTCAGACTTACACGCCAGCTGCCCTTTACCCCCAAGAATATTCCTGGTACTCATTTCTGTTAGAGGCTGAGTCGACCCCAGGGCCACAGTGCGGTTGGAAGGAATAGGTCAATTGAAAAAAAAAATTCAATGACCTCATCAGGACTTGAACCCATGACCTTCTGGCTTGTAGCATAGTGTCTCAACCAACTACGCTACCGCGTGCCCCAAATTGTATAATTATTAATTTAAAAATTTCACAGACCTCTCTACATAGCTGGAAGTATTTGAAAGTAGCAATCATAACAAGTTCTTTAAAGAACTTCATGATTAATAAAATGGATCAACATGTTCATGCATAATGGAGAAAACTGCTAATGTAATGTGTTATCAGAATTTCCTTAACATTCATCATACAAATATACAATTTGAAGAAAATAAATCCTTTGAAGCCTGAAATTCATTCAAATAATACTTAAAAATTTAATCTGTACCTCAAAGAAAATGTACTGCATCTCCATTAAAAAGAAAAACTGGATAATGTTGTTTAGGAAAACAATCACTGTTTATACTGAGGATGATATGAAACACATAAACACACTGTGGGGAAAACGTACAGTATTCTTTAACATTAAAATAGGTAGTACATACAGCAACCACTGCACTTTAGAGAGTTAGGTCAATTATATGTCCATGCCTTACTAAACTGTGAACCAAGCCCATAACAAAATTATGAAATTAAACATGTTTTAAACCCTAGCATACAAGTGCTACTCACAATGTTCCGTGAGTTAATATCTCCAAGATATGTGACTATGTTCATTTCTGGTGCCCACTGAGAAAACTCGCGTTGCCAAGAAGTCATTGTGGACAGGGGTACCACAACAAGGAATGGACCATATAACTGATGGTGATGAAATAAGTAGTACAGCAAACATATTGCCTGAAAGAGACCATAAGGATGAAAATGAATTAGGAAAAGGGAGAAAAGAAAACCAGAGTGCTGCTATCACAAACACACACAAAACCATGCCATAACAAATAAAGCAACTGAAAAATATTAACATTAACCTTTAACGGGCGAATGTCACATATATATGATGCAAGCAGCAACCCAAGTTGGCCGAATGACACATATATATGACGCAGATCACGTGCACTCTTTGGGAGTGCTGACAGTTTGACCTTGGGTTTGAAACCAAAACAAACCTACGTGAGGCCATGTCAGTGGTTCATTCCTTAGCTCTGAACAAAGAAATCGTTTATCACGGTACAGGTTTTGATACTATATACGTTTAGATATGACTGTTTATGACCTGGTCAGCCAAATATAGTCCAGCTTTGTTTCGAGAACTGATGAGGAAATATTCTTCTGTGCTTGCATGTGAGTGCTTCCAGAGCCTTCAAGGAAGTGTGGCGCATGCAAGGATTGGTTTTCAGTGACGAATTATCAGTCAGGAAGTCAGTGTCGGAGTGTCTAATATTTCTTTATATATGATTTTTATTTTGCATCTTAGCAGAGAAATAAACCCACTGAGCTATTATTACTTTGTGAGTAAAGGGCATCTTTGCCACTGCGACTTTCGGTATCAGTGTTGGACTGGCACTCTTTTCAACTAGTATTACAATTACTTTGCATCGCTATTTTGCAAGTATTACCAACAGGTGAGATTGTCGCTTTGTCAATCAACATAATTTATTTGATTTTGCTAGAAACCCCCCTCCCCCAAAATGATTCTTCAATCGCACAAGCCGAATATCACGGTCAGTGGCGTTTCTCGGGGGAAGGCCAAAGTTATCAGGGAGCCCAACTGAGTTGACTGGAGGTGACACATTCACAACACTGGCCAACCAATGGGAAACAAAGACGTCGTGTGTTTTGCTAAATAAGAAAAGCAGGATGCTCTTCTTTTGTAAAATGGGTGGTGTCGCTCTGTGTGCGGTGGACTGCTTCGAGAAGTGCCACGCGCATCAGAGTGTATCGTAAACTGTGAAGTGACGCAGTTCAAACTCGTGTACAGTCTGAACAAAATATTATTGTATATAGTGTGACTAAATTTACAATATCACCATGATTCAAGGTTGAAGAAAAAACAACGGGTAAGTCCTTTGGAATTTCATAACATATACGTATAATAAAGATTATATTTTGCATTTCATGATAAAATAATCACAGTTAATTTTCGTTTGCAAAAATTGCTCTTTTGAGTATATGTAGAAAATTTTATTGTCTTTCAGACTGTTTTTAGTTCGTATTTCTATGTTGCACAGAACGGAAAATATGTATTTTTTCTGAAAGTTTGCAATGTTAATTAATTAGGGCGATTTAAATACCGGCCGCAGAGGGCTCCCGGCAATTTAAAAGTCCATACATTAAAGGTTAAGATTTGATTCTCAAATAATTATAAAATATATTCATACAATAGCACACAGATTAAATGTGCTAAATAAATATCTGCAGTTATAGTGCTAGCAACATATCTCTCCATAGGTAATTTCAATGACTGGCATGAATTCAGTATTAAAAACCAATAACAATCTAAATGGCATCATGTAACCTGAGGATCTGTCACTGCTATAACAGTTCTCTTGCGTTGATACATGGAGAATTTTTGTGCACAATAACCAGAATCTACTATACCTGTATAGTCTTTCCCAGACCCATTTCATCAGCAAGAATTGCAGAATTTTCTTTACACCAAGAATGTATGAGCCAATTAAGACCATCCAGCTGATAATCTCGCAATACTAGAACCTGTAAGAACATGAATAACAGATACACAACAGAATACAACATGACAATACTGGAGATTAATGCTGCCACAATACAAACGTAACAGAACTTACCTGATCTCCACCCATATATTCTGGTTGGCTTTTTACTTGAACAAACTTTGGCCTATGTTTCAAAACACGGCAGTGTTTTGAGGGTGTTTGCTTAGATTCTTCTCTGTCCTGAAACTCTTTTATTTTTTTTGGCCACTTCTTTTCAATAATGGAACCATCTTCCCAAGTGGCTTCTGCATAGGGTAAACTCTCCCACTTGATGTAATAATCAGGATGTGCACCCTCTGGTTTAACAAATTCAGCTACATGAAGATAAATTAGATTAAATTACCATTCACCTTAAAAACCACATACATCAATAAAGAAATACACATGTTACTGTTATGTATTTTATGTAAGTGCATGAGTGCGTGCACGATGCAGATATTATCTAAAAGATCTCTAAGTGTACATGACACCTTGAGTAGGCAATCCTGTAAGTTCAATAAGATTTCCTGTATAATGCTTCTAGTTCCCATCATATGTTGAAAATGTAATTTAATTAATTTTTGATTGATGACATAATGATCTGTCACTATCTAATAATGGTACACTCTCAAAGATATTTTAAACAAAATCTACTGTATGTATTTATGTACACATGCATAGCTTCAGGGCAGAAAGCATGGTTGCACAGTGCTCTGCATCAGCTGTCACTCTCCCTGAATATTAAAGTTCCTGCAAGCTGAGTCCCAAGACATATGACACACCAAACATACCACTGGCAATAAAGACCAGAGAGTTGGCATTAATAATTCAAGTCATTTGAATTAAAGTAATTGTCAGCCTAAGAAACATGATTCTTTTACATTAGCCATACACATTGTCAGTCAGCCAACTAATCATGGTGAGTTGTCAAGTTTAAATCAGATGGCAAAGGCCAGGATGGACGTAGTCTGCCTACGTCAGTAAAGATTGTGTTGGAATCAGTCAAAGGATCACAATCCATCAGGGAAACTGGGGAATCCAAGAGACAGATACCCAAGAAGCAAGCATATAAGCCATATTACTCTACAGCATATGGTGCATAATGAATTACTCAGTCAGTAACTGTGTGGTAAAAGGCTGATGGGTCTTCCTTGCTCTGAGAGAGAAGATGTGCGGAAACTATTACACCAAGATCCTGCAGGAATAGTATGCACTAAGCTGTTCATATAATCCTATGGTGAGGCACTGATGACATTAAGTCCTTATTCAGAACTGTATCCCATGCCAGTCAGTAGCAAACAATAATTACCTAGATATCCAAGGTTATAAAATTCTTGTGCTGGACATATATGAAATGGACTGAGCCACACGTAATATCAAAATAAGATGCCTCAGTCATTACTGATATGTTTATTATAGAATTTGGGTCTCATAACTAATACACAGATAATGGTACCTATGTAATTCACCATAGTCTGTCACTTGGTTCAATAACATAGAGCTTCTACACCTTCCCATATAGAGAATTATGGGGGTCTCACGAAAAGTTAAACAGTTCCGTCCAGTGTGACTGGTGAAGATTTTTCTTATTTCAATTATTTATGCCCTTACATGTTTCGGTCTCTAGAGACAATCATCAGGGGGACACCTTTACATCAATACAGCTGGAGGTCACTATTATAATATATATACAGGGTTATTCAAAAAGAATGAACCAATTTCATGACGCATTGCTTCAGTTCTCAAGCATCGTCATGGAATGAGTCAGTGACCATTTGAAAGAGGAGTTATCTAAGTTGTGAATGGCTGCCACAGGGGCGCTGAAATCATGTCGTTCTTCCGGCAACGTTCAGTTGTTTGTTTACCAGTTGTTTGTTTACCTTCGGAATGGCGAGTCCTCAGCAAAAGGTGTTCTGCGTTCTCGAGTTCATGAAAACAAATTCGGTTGTCATGGTGCAGTGTGCTTTTCGAAGGCAATTTAGCATTAATCTGCCCTGTCCTAAGAACATTCGACAGTTTCAAGAGAGTGGGTGTCTGTGTAAAGGAAAAAGTCCAGATGACAAAGAGTCTCGGAGGAACAAGTGGCAAGAATCCGTGCTGCGTTTGAGAGGAGCCTGCAGAAGTCAACAAATCGAGCTAGCTGTGAGCTTGCGATACCTCAATCCACTGTCTGGAATGTGCTAAGAGTATGTCTACATTTGAAACCATACAGACTGCAGCTCGTTCAGGCACTTACCAATGACGACAAAAGGAAGTGGATGGAATTTTGTGATTCGATGCTGGAAGATGAAACCTTCATTTCATGTTTAATTTTTAGTGATGAAGCGACTTTTCACTTGAGCAGCACAATCAATCGTCACAATGTGCGTATTTGGGGAACAGAGCACCCACATGAAACAGTTGAGCACGAAAGAGATTCCCCTAAGGTGAATGTCTTCTTTGCTGTGTCTCAGGACAAGGTTCATGGTCCCTTTTTCTTTGAAGGAAACACTGTTACAGGACAAACCTATCTCGATATGCTACAAAACTGGCTCTTCACTTCACTGCAAGCAGATTCACATGACTTCATTTTTCAACAAGATGGAGCACTGCCCCATTGGCACCTGATAGTCCGAGCTTTTTTAAATGAAAAAGTGCCCCAGTGATGGATAGGTCGGAAGGGGGCCTGTGAGATCCCCAGACCTCACCGTGTGTGATTTTTTCTTGTGGGGATATGTAAAAGATCACGTTTATGTTCCACCGCTACCCACTAACCTCGATGACCTTAAACATCGAATAACAACAGCGATTAACTCAGTGCATCGCGATATGCTGATACGCGCCTGGGAGGAATTCTCTTA